CTTACATGGCGGGGCTGTGAGGACCTTCACTGAGGCCCACTGGACCTCAGAGGGGACCCAGCTGGCAGAGAGGGACTGTAACCAGAGAGCTCAGGTAAGGAAAACACTGCTGGAGATGATCTGTTACAAAGACGCCAGTTACCAAGGAGGTTGCTAAGAGAAGTCAGCATGTTTGTTAGCTTGGGCCATTAGCTTGGGCCAAGTTGGCTCTCCCCACTGCAGGCAAACTTGATTCACATAAGGAGGTGGAGGAAGCAGGGGTGCAAGAGAAAGGTTCAAAGCAGGAGTCCCAGAAGCGGAGCAGCCCTCTGGGATAGATTAGAGTGACATGTGTGAGTTTAGTTTCCAGTAGCAAGACACTGCATTTTTCTTCTTCTTTTCCTTTTTCCTGATGGAGGAAGACAAGCCTCTGAGATATTCAAGCAGCACTAAATCCACAAGTGGATTTCCTGGGAAACAGCTGGACCCAGAAGAGACTCCTGAGGCCTTAGCACCCAGAGCCTCAACAAAGTGGCCTAAATGTATTACCTAAGTCAAAGGACCGACAGGAACACTGTGCCATTCTCTGAAGGCAAAGACAGAAGCTAAAGAAGTAAATGAGAAAAAGATCAACAGAGAGTGAAGTCACCCAGAGAGAGATGTGCCATAATTTTCACTTAGTGTTTCCGTAAGCTTACCCTAAAAATATTTATTTATTATCTAGTATGGTGTGGAACATGATGGTTTAAATTTGTGGGGCTCTTGAACACAAACTTTTCAAGAGAATTGGGAGCAAAGTTGAAAGTCTGATAACAAACACATGTAGCTACCACTTGGTGGCAGCATATTTAAACTAAAGACAGCAATGGTGAGGAGTGTCTGTGTGTGTGTGTACATGCACGCACACACGCAAGTTCAGGGGAAGGGCCCAAAAATCTCAGGATCAGAACTCAACACTGCTCCCCAGCCCCTTTCATTCAACACTGGGAGCCTCTCTGACACCCTTCCCACTTAGTAGTTGTTTGGATTCCCTTTGGGGACCATATTACTATCCCCTTTCCAAAATTTAAGTCAGAAAGGGGCAGATTTAAAATGGATAACCAACAAAAACCTATTGTATAGCCCATGGAACTCTGCTCAGTGTTATGTGCCAGCCTGGATGGGAGGGAGTTTTGGGGGGGAGAATAGATACATGTATGGCTGAGTCCCTTCACTGTTCACTTGAAACTATCACAACATTGTTAATTGACTATACCCCAATACAAAATGTTTTTGGTGTTAAAAAAAAGAAAGGGGCAGATTTGTCCCAACACAGTTAGATACCTCTGGAGCAATGATATGAGCTGGCCTAGCTGCATCCATTACGTTGTCCTGTGAGCAGATGAGTGAATGAGTCACTGAGTCAGTTAGTGAATAAACACAGCCTAGTTTCCTCAATATATTTATTTTCAGCTTCTAGGGTTGAATTGTAACAAGGTGAGACACTGATAACCTCTGCTATTCCATTTAGAAATAACTCTCCTTTAAGTATCTGTCCCAGGGCGGGCAAGTGCAGACTTGAGAGGAAGCGCAGGCCAGGAGGGTCCTCCAGCCCAGTGGGCAGCTGAGAGCCTTGATCCCTGGGAATCTGCAAACCCAGCTTCCTGACCCAGTTCTCCCTGACGGGACTTAAGAAAGTTACTTAGTTTTGGCACCTTAATGGCCATTTCTCTCTAAAATGAAGATGATTATCCTCCAAGCCCCAGATGATCAGATGAGATCACAGAGATAAAATCAGTGCACTGGGAGGAAAGGCCAATGTTCCCAGTGATAACTCTGCTGGGTGCTGTTACAAACATACGTCTTAGATTGATCGGTTTGCCCTGCTTGTTTATGACCTAACCTGCCTTCTCTCCTAGAGTTACTGGCCACTGGTAGTGAAATGAATGGTTCCTCCCCAGGTACCAGTGGCTGCTGCTTCTGGGCTAGTAGTCATTCTCAAGGTTAAACCACAGACAGAAACACAAATCATATCTAGATTCAGAAAATTCAGAGATTACAGGATCTAGCAAGTGAAAAATGCAGCAGGTTTCCTTTGCCCATTCCTCCAACAGCCGAATTTTATAGCCTGCCCGTCTACGGCCTCCTGCTAGCTCCAAGGCAACCAGAATCTCCCCCTACCCTATCCTGGCCCCATGTAACTTTACAAGTTGCCAACTGGCCGCAGACCAGGCAAGCTCCCTAGCACTCCACTGCCTTGGAAAGTGCTGGAGGGGCTCAGGGCTCCCGCTGTGAGAGGCCTGACAGACCAGGAGGAGTGGGATGGCTGCCCTTAGCGTTCCAGCCAGCTCTGCACTGATGTGGTAGGAGGATTCGTGTGCTGGAGCATCCAGAGGCATAACGGGGGTTAAGGCTCTCTGTCAACACTAAATCAACTGCCAATAAAGTGGGGGCTTCTCTCATTGCCCAACGGCTCCACCACAGGGACCCAGGGCAGAAATGTTGATGCGTGGTCTCTGGCTTCCCACAGGGGTACTTCTTGTTCTCCAAACGTTCTTTTGTGAATGGGTCTGTGTTCCAGACTGCAAGGGACCATGTCTCCCCTGCACCCCGTTTTCTCACCAACAATGGGGAGAAGTAAGTGGCTGAAACACCGATGCTCCAGAATTGCTTGCTGGGTCCATGGAGAGAGGGATGGGTGTGCAAGGGCCACAGGGCACCAGAGGCTGTTTTGTGAGCCAACATCTGGGCCACAGAAAGAGGAAGCCAGGCTGGAGCTGCTGGATGGTTTTTCTAAAAAGAAACCAGGACTACAAATTTGTGGTTTTAGATGGAAATTTCTGGAATGGAGTAAGGAATGTAGTCCTAGAGACAGAGAGACCTGGGTTCAAACCTGGGCTGTATCACTTATTAGCTGTGAGACCTTGGGAGAGCTGCTTAACTTCTCTGTGCCTCGGTTTCCCCATTTGTAAAGCACAGGTAATTAAGAGTACCCCTGTCCAGCTGCTTGCACGATTCTGAGGGGTAGAGGATGCGGATGGGGGGGATGATGGCTTCTCTCCTCACCTCCCTGCTGGGTCACAGCTCATTTGGGAAGAGCTTCCATCAGCACCTCCGGTCCTCCCAGTCAGGTGCTGGAAGAGACTTTCTACCACTCTTTCCCTCTTTCTTCCCCTCCCCAGAGGAGCAGCCAGTCTGACGGGCAAGCACCTAGCAACCACAGGACCACACCTTCCAGGTGTTGGGGCTGCAGTGTCAAAGGCCCTGTGGTATCAGGGTTCACGTCTGGCCACTCAACCTGCCCATATTTGCGTCTCCAAAACACCCTCTTTATGCCCGCTTTTCTGTTCATAGGTGGGAAAATCAGGCTCCACTCCCTGTGGGGCCAGATCCACATGGTCTTCTTCTCAGGCTGAAAGTTGGCAATACTCAATCCAGCCCATTCCAGAAAGTCCTCTATCAAAAGAGCTGATAGATGCATTGATGAGTATTTGTCTTGTCTTTCTTGAATCTACTAATTAGACCAGAGGGAAGGACAGCGAAGATGTAGGCAGTGTTTCAAAGTTCTTAGCATCTCATAGCAAATAATGGTGACATGAAAAGAAGGCTCTTAGAGGGCCAGCTGTGTGGTCCTCCTGCTAAAACGCTGATATGTGCATTGAAATCCAATGTTATTTAGACCAGTGGTTCTCCAGGGGAGCAGCACTACCCTCTAGAGGGTATTTGGAAGATTTGTGAGGGTATTTTGGGTTGTCACCATGATACAGGGACACGACTAACATTGAGCAGAAGACAGAAGGAGGCTACAACACCTTCAGTGCGGGGGGACAGCACTATTTTGGGTCCCTTGTGACTTTAAAATAGTTCGCTAGACCCACACATGTGTTTAAAAAATAACTGCTTATGATATGTATTTATACATATGTGTGTATTCATATAGATGTTAATACGTATACACATGTGTATATATTTTTAAAATTAATATTAGCAGGCATAAGGAAAAATATGGGCAAAAAATATCTACCAAACTATTTAAAGTGCTATAGTGGTTGGTGGAGTGGAGTCATAGACTTGTAATAACTTGGTTATACATTTTTGTTTCCAATTTTTGGAAGAATGTGCTATTTTTGCTATTGAATAAAACAATTAAGATAAACAAAAAAGGGCAAAATTTGTTAAGCAATTTACAAAAAAATTATGCCCTGGAGATATGATATTTTGGAAATAAGTTTATTATACATTAATTCAATAAAATTAGGTTAATGGGGAAAAAAAGGTTTTCATAATTTTCTGAGCCTAGAAGCTAAACTATTTAACTTATAAAATACAACTTTTACTTTTGCATGGTTGTCATATATATTAAAATTTCCAGGAATTCCATTACTATAAAAATGGGGAGGAGAATGCGAGAAATCACTCACCATTTAGGAAAATCCAGGCATTGATGCCAGCACTGCTGGCAGTAGCCAAGTCACCAAAACAATGAACATATAGGCCAGCATTTGAGATTGTGCCAGTGTCAGTGATTCAGAGTATAGGTGACTGCATCTGCCTAATGCACCATGTCCTCAGGTGCAGGTACACCTCAGCATTCCTCTCCTAGTTCTCTTCTATATTTCAATCAGGGCAATATTTGATTTCTAAAAATTTCATGTGTATTGTTAGGTAGGTTATATTATACGAATCTCATGTCAGCGTAGTGGATGGGGGAGCATTACAGAATGTGTGCTATAAAAAAGGGACCACTGGGACTGATAAGAGTCAAAAGCCACTGATGTCACTTCTGGTATCTGAAGGCAACACTTTCATCAACTCTGCCTTCCAGGCCCCTGCTTAAACTTTCCTGTAACAAAGCAGGAAGTTTGGAGAACAATTCTGCTTGTCATAGCACATAATGACCTGTCTAACTTTGTGTAAAACGGGATCTTCATCTCTCTGGAGCTGGGGTAAGGGTAAGCAAGGGACTTCCCCCACACACAGCAAAAGGAAGAAACGCTTTTGTCAGCAGAAAGACAGAAGCAGAACTGAACCGGGCTACTTACACAGGTCCTCGGTGGCAGCTGGGACCAAGGCCGCCATGGACTCGTATAGCTCCTCGTCACAGCCGGGGTTGAGGGAGCATTTCATGAGCAGGTCTGTGGACAGGTGGGCCATGGACTCATATACAGAGTCAGCCTCCTCCCCTTGCATCAGCTCTTCTTTAATGTGACTCTTCAGCATGTCCACAGTTTCCTGAAAGAGAGGGAGGGCCCCATGGGCACGCTGACACAGCCGGGCTCTCTGGGCAGCATCAGGTGCACGAGTGGGCTTGTGACAGTTGAGTAAAGGTTCACAAGAATCAGGGTTGCAACTGGGTGTGCAGGTCTGTATTTCCCACCAGACTGAAAGCTCCTTGAGGAGCCAGGCTCCAAGTCTTTGTTCTCTGTCCTTTGTTTTCACCTCTGTATCTTCCTCCAACACTAAGGAGCAGTTAGGCACTCAGAGGGGACACCTGTTAAATGTCCAATGCCCGAAGGATACAAATCCCCACCTTCTCATGAGTGCCTTTGATGTGTCAGGCAAGGGCTAGCGATGCGCTCATGCAGTGTCTCCCGACATCCTTTCCACTGCTGCTTCTGTTCCCTGGCTCACAGATGAGAAAACCAAAGCTCAGAAAAATCTAGTGCCTTACTCAAGGATCCACAATCCTGGCTTCTGACTTTCCTACCACACCTTCGTGGTTCCTCAAACGGGAACAAATGGCACACAAAGGTGAAACCTTTGCTGATTAGCCAGACGGAAATTCAAATGGGCTAAACAGGGCTGCAGCTAAGTTGCATAGTCAGAAGTCCCTTGGGAAGTCCCAGGTTCACCTGTTCTTGTTCCTTACATTAGGCTGCTCCAAAGTGCCTGACAGCACACTTCTCCAAAGTGCCCACCTCAGTTTTAAATCCTGTGTCCAGAGGGAGAGGTGGTCTTGGGTGAAATGCACTGAAGTCGGAGAGACCCGCCCCCGCCTTTGGTCATTCTGCCTCCAGGTGGTGGTGAAGCCAGAGAGGTGACTTCTCTGAAACCCCTGCACAACTTTTCCTGGTAAGAAACTCTGGTGTTTCACAATCCTTATTTCAGCATCAACCCACAAAAATCCTCATTTTCATCATCACTACTACCCCATGAGCACTAATCTGCTCTTGACACTCTGTGTTGGTTTCCTGATGAACCCCAAGGAACGGACGAGGTGACAACTGTGGAGTGTTGGAGACTCAGAGTCTGGCTTTTGGTTTTGATATGGTGGAAAGAGGAAACAAATGGGATGGTTCTTTGGAGTCATCAACAACACGGAGAGATGACCTTTGTGGGGCAAAGCTGGAGATGCATTGGTTGAAGTGATTGCAGTCTGAGAACAAAGATGATACGACAAATGTGAACCAGATTAACTTCAGTGCAAACTGGACATGCATCTTTCCATGTCCCTATGACATAAAGTAGGATAACAGGCCCCAGCTTTAGCATCAACTAGGTTCACATCCTATCTCCACCCTGACAAGTGTGCAGCCCTTGGTACGACTACTCTGCCTTTTGAGGCCCTTTTCCTCCTTTATTGAAGAAAGATAACAATATTGCCAACTTCAAAGAATAGTGGTGAGGACTCAAGAAGACAATGCATTTGCCAATCAAATAAATGCAAATAAATAGTGGTCATTAATATGAACACAGTATGCTCTTAACAAAAATTATTGGCAGGGAAATGAAACACTGCCTTTTATACATTTTTGACTCCAAAGTGAAGCCAAGTAAATGCTTCTAGACTGTAAGTACCTTTTAGCTTCATTTATGCCAATGATACACCAAATAGGCACTCATGCTATTCTATTCATTCAATATATTTAATCACTCCCCAAATTTGGGGGGGCCTCTCTATGTGTCTCAGTGAGTCATTGCCTTGTAGATTGTCAAGTCCAGAGCAGAGAGATAAGTTTCTGGGGAGGTGTCAGGCTCACTCCTGTCTGACTGGATTGTGTTCATTGTTCCTTTTGAGGTCATAGCCTCATATGAGAGGCTGAGCTGTTTCTGCATTGCTGCTGTGAATCGTGAAAAGGGAAGAAAACCAGAAAAGGGTGGAGTCACAAAGGGCATCTGCCTCCAAAACAATGGAAGGGATTTTGGGGCATGTATCAAGGCCAGGATACAGGATGAGATTACACTCAAAGAAGGACCCCCAAGTCAATGATCAAGGGGGATCTGTGGATCCTAAACTAGAGAAGCAGTTAAACCTGAAGACAGGCAGAGGCTCAGAAAGAAAGAGAGGTTGTCAGGAGGTGGGGCCTCACGGCTGTCCCCCTGTAGCCTCAGTTGCAGAGTTTTACTGTGGTGAGTGCTAAGAAAGGAACCAAGCTTGTTAAGCTTGACGGTGGGCGAAGCAGCTGGGAACATCCTGCCAAGTGCCTTGCAGGTGGGTGGGGAGTCAGCTGGAAAGAGGAGTTGGTATCTGCCCTCAGCAGATTCACTCAACAAATGTCTCTGTAAATTCTTCGAGGGTGGATCTTAGTGCTTTACCTACATTATCTCTTTGTATCCTCAAAACAACCCTAAGAGTAGAACTATTATCATCTTTCTCCTGCATATTAGGAAACTGAGAGAGAAAGAGGATAGATACATGATTTGCCCAAAGTCATGTGGCTAACAAGTATTGATGAGGAAACTGGACCCAGGTCCATGTGACTCCAGGCTTCCCAGGTGACACTAGTGGTAAAGAACCTGCCTGACAAAGCAGATGTTAAGAGATGTGGGTTTGATCCCGCATTCAGTCCTGGGTGGGGAAGATGCCCTGGAGGAGGGCATGGCAACCCACTCCGGTGTTGTCTGGAGAATCCCATGGACAGAGCAACCTAGTGGGCTACAGTCCATGGGTTGCAAAGAGTTGGACACGACTGAAGTGACTTAGAACGCACGCATGCACGACATGTGACTCCAGGGCTCATCTCTTCCGCCCGCGTACGCTGGCCCTGCCAGCAGAGGCACAGGAGGACGTGCTAGAGATGAAGTCCACCCAGAGCTTTGGTGCAAAGGCAGCCCTGGGGACCACATCGTGCATTTCCAATTCCCGGGCCCCCCCGCCTTGACCTTACCACATACTCGTCGATGAACTGCCGCAGGTCCCGGAAGCCGTGCTTCTCGGCGATGGTGTTAGGATAGTGGCCGTGCTTGTTGGCGACACTGTAGGCCTGTAGGGCTCCGGGGCAGGTGAGCAACAAGGCAGTGAGGTTCTTTAGTCCGTACTTGGCAGCAAAGTGCAACAAAGTGGGCAGCTCTTCATCCCTTTGATCTGAAAAATTGTCAAGCAAAATGTAATGATCAGAGAAAGCCCAGGGCACCATGCTCATGCAGATGACACTGGAAACCGAGTGTGGCACCCAGAGGATGCTCAATCATTGCTTCTTGGTTGACTGACCTAACATCTAATGGCTTTTCCTCTGGGGCACCACTGAAGATGACAGAAGAAATGATATGTCAATTAATTAGCAAATCTATCATGAATATCCTGCCTTCTTTCTCTAAAAGGACTGGAGAATCCTGAGAAATAACACCAGTTCAAAATATGTGGATGTTCTAAGGGTTTTTTAAAAAAACAGCCATGAAGAACAACAGGGATTGTGTTTTGAATGTTTCTTCAAATTTCAGAACACTTTAAAATAACCGCTTTATGCTGACTAAACGAAAGAAATCCTGGGACTTCCCTGGTGGTCCAGTGGTTAGGACTCAGTGCTTTCACTACTGTGGGCACATGTTCAATTCCTAGTCAGGGAACTAAGATCCCGCAAACTGTGACGGAAAAAAAAAAATCCATCTTCTTAGCACTTATGCCCAGTTTCATAACATGTGCCAAGTAATCCTGACTTAGACTTTCCATGACCTTTAGTTTTGAACTAGAAAATATTTCCGGACTATCTCAAAGGGACCTGGGAGGATTAACAAGGTGGTTTTCAGTGAGCTCTTTGTTGAGGACAGGCTTTGAATGATGGTAGGAACATACACGAACCCAAGGATGTCCATTAACCTTCCGCTTTTTGAGAAACGAAGTGCTCCTGAGAGTCACTGGTCCCCAGGGGCCCCTCCACCTACTAATACATGATACAGCAAGTCAAACTCAACCAAGGAAATAGACGTGTTTGTTTTGGGAAGTTGGAGACAAACCTCTTTTTTTTATTTTTATAAAAGTTGATTTCTAAGCCCAAAGTGAAAGTGAGGGTCGCTCAGTTGTGTCCAACTCTTTGTGACCCCACGGATTATACAGTCCATGGAATTCTCCAGGCCAGAGTACTGGAGTGGGTAGCCTTTCCTTCTCCAGGGGATCTTCCCGACCCAGGAATCGAATCGAGGTCTCCTGCATTGCAGGCAGATTCTTTACCAACTGAGCTATGAGGGAATCCCAAAAGTGATAGATAAATAAACAGATAAATATATGTATATATACATATGTCATATATATGTGTGTGTGTGTATAAATACGTATATGTATTTTTTTAATAAGACAAACCCACGGATATCCTGGTGGTCGAGTGGTTAAGACTTTGCCTTACAATGCAGTGGGTTTGGGCTCAATCCCTGGTCAGGGAGCTAACATCCCACATGTCTTGCAACCAAAAAAAAAAACAGAACATAAACAACAAAAACAATACTGCAACAAATTCAATAAAAACTTTTAAAATGGTCCATGTTGAAAAAAACCTAAAAAAAAAAGACAAGCCCAGCATCCTATTCACCAGGATATAATCTTTGGAATGAAGGTCTGAAAATGTCCCCAGGATTCCCCATGATTGTCAAGCTATGAAATATTCTTTCCTGAGCCTGAATATGGAATATTAACACCCACTGAAAGTGATGCAAGAACATTCCACAGTAGGAAAATGGGGAGAGGCAACAAGAAAATGCCCCTAGGAGAAGTACTTGAAGGTAACATAACCTCATCCTTACGGTTCTCAGAGGCTGTGGAAGGATAAAATGCAGGCAGTGAGTAACCAGAGACTTGGGTTCCTCCTGGGCAGTGCAGCTGTGGCGTGAAGGAAAAATGGCATCCACAAAAGTGCCACAACAAGCATCCAGTCCAGCGTGCAGGGCATCATCCCCATGCAAGTGGTTCTCCCAGCTCCCAGCAAGGCACACATGCCCACAAGACTGCTCCTCCCTTGTCAAACAAATAATTGTTTTGTGCCTACTGTGAGCCACCAGGCACAGTCCCTGTGTTCATCCAGCTGACAGACCAGCAAAACAGACAGACAAAGCTGAAGAGTACGAGAACCCGACATGCTAGGGGAGCCTACAGCATGCAGGTGGGACCTACTTGGGGAAGTGCTTCCTAAGCTGCTACAGCAGGAGGGGAGGAAGAAGCTGTACTCTCATAGGTTGAGGTAGCAAGAGGCAGGGTGGAATTTTCATTAGGTGAAAGAAGTTCATACCTTCTGTAGAGCAGAGCATAGAAGCCAAGGGAGAGAACAGAGAGGGGTGAGAGCAGAAACACTGGAGGAGCCCCTGGGGAAGGGCTTGTGAAAGGTTAAGCAGTTTGGACCTCAGAAGACAAGTGGGAACCACAGAGGGTATTCAGTAAGGGAGTGAGATATTTGGGCTTATAATTTAGAAGAATCTCAGGCTGACCAGAGAAGAATAACTATTTCTCAGAGGATGAATGGAAGAGCAGGACCCAGTAGAAAGCATGAGCACAGGCTGACTGCATGCTGAAACAGACCAACTGAAATCGACCTGCTGCCTTTTCCTTGAGTTTTGACTGTTGACTTACTTGTCATCATGTCTTCTTCTTCCAGCTGGTTGATTCCAAAGAGGTGCAGCCCACTCGCAGGAATATTGTTCTTCAGGGACTCCGTTAGCAGTTTATCAAGGGTCTCTGTGTTGTAGGGCACAATTTTGAAGGCCTAAATACAAAAGTGAAGATGGTCAGATTTTAAATCCAGCTATCTCCCACCCTTTTCATACTGTTACATCTTTTTGCCTTAATTGATGCTTTCGAACTGTGGTGTTAGAGAAGACTCTTGAGGGTCCCTTGGACTGCAAGTATATCAAATCAGTCAATCCTAAAGGGAATCAACCCTGAATATTCATTGAAAGGACTGATGCTGAAGCTGGAACTCCAATACTTTGGCCACCTGGTGCAAAGAGCCAACTCATTGGAAAAGACCCTGATGCTGGGAAAGACTGAGGTCAGGAGGAGAAGGGGACGACAGAGGATGAGGTGGTTGGATGGCATCACCGACTCAATGGACATGAGTTTGAGCAAGTTCTGGGAGATGGTGAAGGACAGGGAAGTCTGGCGTGCCACAGTCCAACTGAGCAACTGAACAACAACAATCTCCCACCCAACAGATTTCAGATTGTGAACCATGAGCAGAAACTATAGGTACAGAAAACTCTGGGGTCCTTTCATCGTCCTTACCTGACACATGAACTCCACAGGATTTGCAGCATTGGACAATAAATTCCCAATTTCCTCCATGTCAGTATAATAGCTGATAATGGTGTCACATACCACTAAGTCCCCGGAATATATCTTCAGAGAAGCATTCCCAGATGAAAGGTCTGGATGGAAGAAAAGATACTAAAAAACTGCTGGGTTTTTTTTTTTATAAGAGTACAGGGGAAAGTCTTCCTGGATTACTTAAATGGTGAAGAAATGAATTGGGGACTGGAAGAAAGGGCTTGGAGGTGAACTGTAGGGTTGGGAAGTGAGGGACAGAGCAGAAGAAGCAGTGGGCAGACTAACACACAGGAGAGCTCTGGGTCAGAGGGATTATCCACACTGGGTCTGCAATTTAACTTTTCGAAGATTGCCATCTGCTTTACTCACTACTGCAGGCCCCGAGTCACAATAGACAGGAAGAAGAGCTGAATTTAAAGCACTTTATATAAAGGCCGGTGGTCACCAGAGGCGGGGGAGATGCTGGCCAGTGGTCACCAGAGGCAGGGGGGATGCTGGCGGTGGGACTCTGCACTTCACCCATCACACCAGTAGAACTGATTCACTTGCTGTGCTGCCGTCATTACTGTGCGCTCTCCCTGAGGGTTCTCTCTTCTACACCACAGGAAGGGGTTTTGAGGGGGAAAGAGAAAATTAAAAATACACCAACCACAAAGATTCGATTCACAAAAGAGGAAATGTGACACGTAGAGAACATGGAAAAATACTTAACCTCGCTAGTAATCAAAGAAAGGCAAATTAAAACCATGGACTACTTTTTAGAAACATATTAAATTAGCAAAAATATTCAAAGTGACAAGGCCTAGTGTTGGTGATGAGATAGCAGATAAACTTGATAGTAGTAATATCCCATAAAGCCACTAAGCATCATCTTTCAGGACCCTTAAAAACGCCCAATGTTTCAGGAATTCCATCTCGAGGACACTAACCTGCATGCATAAAGAGGCTCAATACATCATCACTTAAAATAACAAGAAGACAATAAGAAATCAAAAATGACATAAATAGGCAATAATGAGGAAATGAAAATTAAAAGATATTTCTATTCAGCTGAGTGTTATATAGCTTTAAAAATTATGGTTTTAAGATATAGGTCCAATTTAAGGGGCTAGTTTTATAAATTATGGTACATCTACACATTGGATTACCTTGCAACCATTAAGCATCATTTTGTCAAAAGAATATTTATTAACATGGGAAAATATTCACAGTGTATTTTCAGGTAATGATAGTTAGTTGCAAGACAAAGTTATGTACACAGATGTGGGAAAATACAGAAACCAGTGATTTCCTTTGGGGGCATATGGGTAATTTTCCACCTACTTTCTTTTATGGTTACTGTATTCTCCAAGTTTTCTATATTGAGCACACATTACTTTTGTAATAGAAAAAAAATTATAAAATTGAGAGTTTCAAAGTCCATGTAATAGTACAGTGGTAAAAGGATGGAGACAGGATAAATTAAGATTACATAAAGAAAATCAGAATATAAGGTAATAGATACTATTGGAACAAATATGCTTTTAAAAATTAGGAACAAAGGCAAAGAAGACCCAGTGACAGGGTGTCAGATGACTTTATCCCTACTTCTCCTATTTGTCTCTAATTTTAAAAAATGTTAATACATTAACTTTGTAAACATTGTAATGTATCCATTTCCTCCCCATCATACATGTATGCTTCTACAACTTCTTTTTCCTTTCAAGAGAATATAACAACCAACCCAAATCTTGGTTGTCACTTTTCTCAATGACTGATAAAGACAGCTGTCAACAAGGTAAAGAAAGAAGGGACCTCTTCACACGAGGCCTAATTTCTGGAGGTCAATGGGGCTACTTACTGGGAGCTTTCACGGAAACAGTGTACTCATTCTCCAGCTTGGCTTCCACCCTTATCGAGGGAGAATCCTCACGAGAAAATTCGGCTTCTGTTGTCACCTTCTCATCCAACTTACATCTCACGATGACATAGACAGTGGTTTCTGCCTGGAATGGGAGACCAGTCATTGTTCCTTCTCCCTGGTTTTTGGAGCCCCAGCTCTCCCCAGTGAAGCTGCTCCAGAGCAGGGTGGGGTCTACAGTCCAGTGCCAGGCAGTGACTGCTTGCCACAGGTCCCAAAAGACCAGTTACAAAGCCCAAGAGTGAACATTTATAACCCTTAATAGCAATTTGATCATCTTATGTCTGTCAAACCCAATAATAATTTTAAAACCTGGGGCTGGTATTTTATATGTCTATTCATTTACTTTTTTTATAGCATTTCTTTTTTGTTGTATTATAAAAGTATTGGTCTGTGGCAGAATTGGAAACTTGAAAGAACAACATTTTTAAAAAGTTCTTCACCACAGATAGTTTGAGAAGCAGTATTCTAGATCAGGGTCTTTTCTAATGAGTCAGTTCTTCGCATCAGGTGGCCAAAGTATTGGAGTTTCAGTTTCAGCATTAGTCCTTCCAAAGAATATTCAGGACTGATTTCCTTTAGGATGGACTGCTTGGATCTCCCTGCAGTCCAAGGGACTCTCAAGAGTCTTATCCAACACCACAGTTCAAAAGCATCAGTTTTTCGGCACTCAGCTTTCTTTATAGTCCAACTCTCACATCCATACACAACTACTGGAAAAGACCCTGATGCTGGGAAAGATTGAAGGTGGGAGGAGAAGGGAATGACAGAGGATGAGATGGTTGGATGGCATCACCGACGCGATGGACATGCGTTTGAGCAAGCTCTGGGAGTTGGTGATGGATAGGGAAGCCTGGGGTGCTGCAGTCCATGGGGTGGCAAAGACTCAGACATGACTGAGAAACTGAACTGAACTGATTCTAGATCAGCCTTGGTACCCAAACTGAGGCCAAGGGACCAGCAGCATTGGTATCTGTGGAAGCTTGTTAGAAACACAGAATCTCAAGCCCTGCCTGGACCCACCAGACACCACACCAGAGTCTGCATTTTACCATGACCCCTGGGTAAGTCAGCCTTACAGAGCAAGAGGCACTGATTTACAGAAGGCTTCTTGAGTTTTGGAATTTATGCTCTTCTCAGATGGACAAAAATAACTGATTGGAGGATTAATTTCCCCAAGGCATTGAGCAACCTGAGTGCAGTTTTATATTGTTTTGAGATCTCTTGTCAAACCTGCCAGATGGAATTATTTATTTTACTGTGATGGTTATCCTGGTTAAGTTCTTAAGACATTGAACTAGAAAGGACACGCTGTCCAAAAAACAGGGGAAAAGGAGAAATTTCTGGCCATAGCTAATCCCCAGAAGTTCATTGTAAAATTCTGCTATCAAGCCTTTAGAGTAGGCCTTTGTGATGAGGGCCACTCTTGATTCCAGAGCAGCTGGGAGGGGGGCTGTGGTCCTGGCTCACAGAGGCTGCTAAGGGTGAATGTGAGTGTGTTTGTGGTGGACCTGTCTCTCACTGTGGGTCCAGCCCTGTCCAACCTGCTCCTTCTCCCAAGGAGGGTGGGGAGCCAGTGAAAATGAGTGTGTCTCCCCCTTGACAGTCATGACCCAACTCCAGCCCAGCTGCCCCAGGATCCAGAGACCTGGAGCAGGCAGCAGAGAGAATCCTTGGTCAGTGGGAGCCAGCACAAGAGAAGGAGCCAAAGCCTGGAAAACCAGGGAGGTATGGGTGGGGTATTATTCTTCAGTTCCAAACCCTCCTCAGTCTGCAGCCTGATGTCAGGATGAGAGGGGCGTGGGGAAGGCAGGAAAGAGTATAGAGAGACTAGAAACTGCATGCCCACCACAAAGCCTGGCTGATCAGGAAAAGGAGTGAAGTGGGTACCAAAAAAAAGGGACTGATGAGAACCAGGGATGCATCTAATGGCCCAGCTGCTCATCTCAGACCTGGTTATTACCAGATTCTGATCCAAAGGAAGCTGGAAACAGATTTTCATGCCTAATTTTTAAAACACTGAGCAGCTCAAACCAAACACATCTATGAGTTCAATCCAGTCTGAAGAAGCAGCTTGCAACCCCCATGGAGGGCGTCCTTGCCCAATGCCTTGAGGTCTCAGGCTGCAGAGAAAGCCACTCACAAGTGCAGAGAAGCTAAGACTTCCCATTTCATGGCCCTTCCGCCCTCTTGCCTCCAGGAGACCACAGTGGCAAACCTAGCACAGGCTCCTACCCACAAGAAAGCATTTCACTGCTCTGAACCAAATATTACAAATTTTTCATCAGAAAAGGAAAGATAATGAAAAACTATCAATACTGTGGTAGTATTCAAATGACAGTGGCTCATCAGTTGGTTATCACATTCAAATCATCTCTTAACGTGGGTCCTACCCCTGAAAATGTTAGTCATGTTATGCTCAGGCATTACGGAGAAGGCAATGGCACCCCACTCCAGTACTCTTGCCTGGAAAATCCCATGGACAGAGGAGCCTGGTAGGCTGCAGTCCACGGGGTCACGAAGAGTCAGACATGACTGAGCAACTTCACTTTCACTTTTCACTTTCATGCATTGGAGGAAATGGCGACCCACTCCAGTGTTCTTGCCTGGAGAATCTCAGGGACAGGGGAGCCTGGTGGGCTGCCATCTTTGGGGCTGCACAGAGTCAGACACGACTGAAGCGACTTAGCAGCAGCAACTGAGGCGTTAAGCTTCTTCCTTTTGCAAGTGATACTGGCCAGCAAGCTTCAGCCATCAAGCTTTGAGGCACTTTGGGGCCATACAAGGAGCTAGCTGACAGAAAAGCAAGCTGTCAAAATGCCCAGCACTGGGCTGGAAGGACCAGACCCAGGCCTCTAACTCCAGGGTTGGCGTATAGTGTATTGTAATGTTCATGTCTGCTGGTCTTCAACACATTCTAAGTTTTTGTCTCATGAACTTAATGTCTTGAATTGATGACACATACATTCCTGGGCTCTTCTCCCTTTGACTTAAAGGAGTGAGGCATGTCCAGGGCCCAGGCCCTGGGGGTCCCAGGGTGGCTAATGTATATGGAAGCCCTACAAGAAAGCTGGGATTACACAAAGGTGTGACAGGAGAATACCGCTCCCTTTACTACATCCACTGAAAAGCCCCGAAGCCCGCGCTCCAACATCCATCCACCAGCCCCAGAGGTGCCTACCCCACAGCGGATGCGCTCTGGCTGCACCACCATCAGGTTCCCAGGCGGAGTCTCCGGCGGCGGCAGGCTCTGCTGCTTTGAGTAGGGAAGGACCTTCTCGTCCTCAGTCTCGGTGTCAGTGACTGAGTCGCAGCCAGAATCTACGGCACAGAGAACACAGCTGAATGGAAAGAAAAGGAAGCGGAGCTGGGCATGTCCCACCCCCATTAAAACCCAAAATGTTACCAAATAGGAAATGGCTCCGAATGTCAAACAAATACAAGCTGAAGGGAGTGACTCAGGAAATCATGAAAGAGGAGCTCTTGGGGAAAAGTCAACCCCCATGGGGGCCACGAGGATAGGGTGACGGCAGGAAGATGATGGAGGAGAGAAAGGCCAAGACGTCTGGGGCAGGCTGCTGTCTGAGGCCGGCAGGTCTGGTCGCAAACAACAGACTTATGCAGGCTTCACCTCTGGGCTTCTTGCAGGGCTGGCTTTGGTGACTGAGGAAAGAGGCCCCTTCTCCTCAACGGGAGGGGTGTCAAGACTAGGCTGTCCACTTAAAGGCCATCTTTTGAACATCAGGTAAAACCTGTGCTTTCCAGGAAGTCATTATTCCTCAAGGTCATGGCTAACCAGCCTACTCCCTCCAGGGCAATGGTAAAAGGCAATCACTTTAAACAAACCTTAGAGAGTCACTGGGTCCCAAATCAGTACCACAGCCAACACCCCTGCCATGGGAAGACTGGGGCGTGCTCAGATTTGGAGCAGGTGAGCAGGGGTGTGCAGATAGAGCATGGCATGGAGTGAGATGATGCTGAGATGGGGGTACTTGCAACCTACCAGAGTTCTAAAGCAGGGACTCTTAACCAGGGATCAACAACTGACAGGATGCCTGTGTGCAAGATTCTCTGTGTGTCTGTGTGTGTGCATGTGTGTGTGTGTTTGCCTAAACTTCCCTGGAGATAGTCCAGAGGTTCATCAGATCCTCAAAGAGGAACAAAATGGTTAAGAACAGCTGCAAGGAACAGGAAAGTCCATCTAGTCCCTTCCTCAGGCTTGTTCTTCTCCATTTCTAAACCACCAACAGAGCCAGCCAACAGTGCCAGGTGCTGCGAGAACACGAGTGTGAACCAAACACCCATCCTGCCTTCAGAGAGCCCATCTTCTAGAAAGGCTGGAGAGAAGTTAATTTGGCTGATTCCGGCAGGCTGGCCTCCCATAGAAGGAGTGACATACATCCTGGGAGAAAGCTGGGGTGGCAGATCAGGCAGATATGTCCCCAAAGAAAGCTGTAACAGGCTTGCTCTCTAGATCCCAGGTCATGCCAGGAGAGGGCTGTGCTCCCACCACCATGAAGGCTGAGGTGCCAGAGCAGGTGTGGGGAACCAATCACCACCTTGTCCTAGGGCCGTAACTGTGAGCCAAGGGTCTCCAGAACCTGCCCAGGCCAGGGGAGGGCCCAAGGCCTCCCAGATATGCAAGTGAAAAGCTCCATAGCCTTGGGCAGGGGTCTTGTCCTGGAGCCTGACATGTGTTCTGACAGATGTCTACACACAGGTCCAGTGTGTGATGGACAGTCAGGCAGGTACTGATTTCATCCAAGACGCACTAGTCCAGAAGGCGGGGCTGAGTCAGGCTGGTCTCTGACCTTGTTAGCACAATGGGAATCTGGGCAGAAGTTAATGCTGAGTCCCAAGGAGAGAGATACTGTTTCTCACTCTGCGCCAGAGCCACAATCTCCTCTATCTCTCCTTTCCTTTCAGGCCTACTGACCCCTGTCACTCAGGGCTAATGACCAGTGCCCCTCGACCCCTGCACACAGGCAGTAGTCTCCTGTGCAGTAGTCTCCCCACCTCCGTGTCATCCAAGCCAGATTAAGGGAAAGCTGACATTTTCTCCACCGGATCTGCCCTTCTCCACAACGTTTTCTCCTTGAAAGTGAAAAGTGAAATTTGCTTAGTTCTGTCCTACTCTTTGCGACCCCATGAACTATAATATCCATGGAATTCTCGAGGCCAGAGTACTGGAGTGTGTAGCCTTTCCCTTCTCCACGGGATCTTCCCAACCCAGAGATCAAATACGGGTCTTCTGCATTGCAGGCAGATTCTTTACCGGCTGAGCCACAAGGGAAGTGCCAGAATACTGGTGTGGGCAGCCTATCCCTGCTCCAGCGGATCTTCCTAACCCAGAAATTGAACTGAGGTCTCCTGCATTGCAGGCAGATTCTTTACCAACTGAACTATGAGGAAAGCCCTTCTGCTTGACCGGTCACTATTAAAATGGCCAGGGCCCATCCCCATGAACAGAACTACACATGCTACCCAGGTACACTCCCACCAACCACGGGAACTTGTGAAAGAAAGAGCCAAAAAATCAGGGACAATTAATATTCTTCCTGTTAATAACTATGTAACACCACATCAAGCTTTAGTTTTGTATCATGCGATGCCTAAACATGTCAGTTTTTCATTTCTATGGTTCTTCCTGGATGAGAAAATAACCTCATTGACTTACAACATTCACCAGTCACTTAAAACTGCAAGAAACTCCCTGGAACTACTTATGGATCTAGAATTGTTTAGATACTACCCTGAGTGGGTACCAACTTTTGCCAACTACCTATTCTAATATATTGTACAGATATAATTGCCTTAGGATAGACTCACAGTATGGTCTATTGCTTCAAAAAAGAAAATCTCTTCATTTCTCCCAAATTGCTGACCCAGTTAGTTGGCTGGCCAAAGAATTAAAGCTCTAATAAATACAATCAAGAAAAGAATAGAGAAATAGAAATAAGCCAAACAAGAAAGAGATGATAACAACAAATATGGAGAAAATTTTAGAAATATACTGATGTGAAAACTTGTTGCTAATAGTTTTTTTTTAATTTCAATACAATTTTTACAGAAAATATATAAACTATCAGAACTATTTCAAAGTAAGTAGAAAATTTGACTAAAACAATAATCACAAATTTTTCTGACTTTCAAATAAAATGTAAAGTACAGGTCACACACCTTTCCTGTGCTGAATTTTAAATTGTAGTTGCCACAGTGTTTCCTATCTAGAAAAATTCCATTTATATAGGTTTTCTGTCTTCTACTAAAGTTTACAAAAACAATAAAAGATAAGTCTTATTTTATATTAAATGTATAAAAAAATTTAACAGAGCAATTAAATACAATAGACAACTCCCAAACCAAGTTTCATCCTCACAAAAACTTAGTATGTGATAATCCCTTGCACTCTCTTTCCAACCCCACCCCTGCAGGATGGCTCCCACAAAGAAGGGTGGCGAGAAGAAGGGCCGACCTGCCATCAACGGAGTGACCAAAGAATACACTATTAACGTTCACAAGCTCATCCTTGGAGTGGGTTTCAAGAAGTGTGCTCCTTGGGCACTTAGAGAAATCTAGAAATTTGCCACGAAGGAGATGGGAACCCTAAGTGTGCATATTGACATAAGGCTCAACAACCCTGTCTGGGCCAAAGGAATAAGGAATGTCCCATACCCTAGTTGTGTGCACTTGTCAGAAAACATTCACCAAACAAACCACACATTGGTTACCTATGTGCCTGTCACAACTTTCAAAAATCTTCAGTTAATGTGAATGAAAATTAACTGCTGATTGTCCAAAAGTTATTGAACCGCCAAAAAAATAAAAAACAAAAACACCTAAATATGTAATAAAGAAAGCACTAAAAATCAGTACAGAATAAAGAAAATGTTTGGTGAAAAGGATGACTCAGCAGGCGGTGCTAAAAAAATTTAGCTATATGGGATGGACATAGAGAGACAGAGAGACTGTTTAGAATCTTAATTCTCATACACTCCAAAAGAAAATTTAGATGGATTACAGATGGAAATGAACAATAAAACAAATTTTAAAAGATAAAAGTATATTAAAACGTGGGTGAAAATTTTATCTTTGTTTTGAGAAAAGATTTGTTTATCTTAAAAACAATTGAAGAAATACAATTGAAACAAGCAATAGCGCTGATGACATTAATTTAAAACTTAGGTACACAAATTTAATTAAAAATAAAATTGTAATGCTTTAGCAGCATTAGTCATAATAGTCAAAGGTGGAAACAACCCAATTACCCATTCTTTGATGAATGGATTGACAAATTATTCACCACAAAAAAGAATAAAATGCTAATACATATTACAACATAGATGAATGTTGAAAACGTTATGCTGAGTGAAAGAAGCCAGCCACAAAAGATCACACATTACATGATTTCAAACATACAATATGTCTAGAATCATCACATCCATAGAAACAGAAAATAGTAATTGATTAGGGCTGGGGATTCTTGGGAAGGGGTGGGGAGGCTGGGAGATAACAGCTAAGAGGTATGAAGTTTCTTTTTGAGGTGATGAAAATATTTTAGAATTGATCATAGTGACAGTTGAACTGGTCTGTGAAGATACAAAGAAGATTACAGAATTGTATAATCTAAATGGGTAAATTGTTTGCTATGTGAATTATATATCAATAAAGCTGTTACCAAAAATTCAATGGCAAACCACAAACTGGTTGAAAATTTGAAATAAATAGGCCAAGGGAACAATCTCCTTAATATATGAAGAGATCATAGAAATCTCTTTAAAGATACCCAAAGCCAAATAAGTAGATGATTCACAAAGGAAGAAACAAAACTTACCTCCCCATTCAGAAAAATTAAATCATTATCACTAATCATCATGGAAATGCAAATAAAAATAATATACTGCTATTTCACCTTTTTCCAATTAAGAAATATTTGAAGGTGAGGTAGGACAGGTACTCTTACTGGTTGCTGAAGAAAGTATAAACTGGCACACTCTTTCCGGAAAGCCATGTGACCAAGAGAGCAAGTCTTTACAATATTCGTGTCCTTGGCCACACAACTCTACTTCTAGAAATCTCTCTTAAGGTAGGGAAATAAATGTTCAAAATGTAGACAAAGATAATGAACCAAGATGTCTGCTAAATCATTCTTTGCATCTCTGAGAAACAAAGAACAACCTGATAAAAGAATATTAAAAGTATCTTTCACTTTAAATATTATTTTATGTAAAAGTTTATGACATGGTTAAGCAAAAAAAACAGAATATAAAATCATACATCTCAGAGTATAAGATACCAGTTATATAAAGGAAAATGCATTT